GCTTTTTGATATCTGCCAAATTAATGTTGGGTATCTGTGCAGGTGTGGAGATATGCAAATGCTATGCTATAGTCAGATCGCTTTGAGCTGCATAAAGGAAGCTTTTGGGGATTACCATGTGGAAGCTCAGTGGGTTGGTGGGTGGGATGAAGCCCGTTCTTGCAATATTCCAGGTCCCTCTTCAGGCGTTGGTTGGCTTGTTGTCTTTTCACCACTTCCATTGTGTCAAATGTCTCTAGCTCCTGCATCTCTTCTCTGAGGTCCTGAAGCTGACATCAGCACAGATCTCTGATCAAAAACTCATTTTATTTGCACGTAAAATATGGTAAGAGTTTTGAATGAGCATTTACTCAAAATACAAGCTGACACATGAAAATGGTGCATTAAGTAAGGCTGGGTTTATGCCTGACTGAAGACCTTGCCATGGATAAAAATTAGACAAAGCATTTATTCTACAGGTAGAAACAATATTTTGTGTTGAGCCTTTAATTAAGAGCAGTCTTTGAGGAAAACAAGAGCAACCACTGAGCAGTCTGTGAATTAGAGAAGCAGACTACTTTTTGAGAAGGCTGCCAGGCTCGGCACATACAGTGAGAAGGCCAAGTCGTAGCAGTACTGTGACTAAGCAGACTACAGTGCTGTTATGATGTATTTCTGTCATTGCAGAATTTATAGAATTCAGTAGCTTCAAAAACATCAATTTCAGTAACTCATTTTGAAAAGGTTCTAATGGGAATGTAAATTATTTTAGATGTGTGTTAGTCAGAGTGACAATTTTCTTTGTCTGCCAAGTACCAAGACTTCAGAGATCAAGTGAAAAAAGCATTCTTAGTTAAAACGTTAAAACGCGATCGAGACTTGAAAAGCAAGTTCTTAATATAATGCCTCATCTGTTTGTGAATTTACCTGCTGAGTTGTCGTAGCAGTAACACGCTCCTGTTCCAGACTGGTGCTGTTGACCTTATCAATCAGCTGCTTGATCTCAATCATTTCGTTCTCTATGACGTAGAGGCTGAGAACGCCGTAGAGCTCTCCATCATCTTCTTTCTCCAGCATCGATACATCCTTCTCCAGTACAGGCAGACGGCGATCCAAACCAAGGAGCAAACTCTCCAGCTCTATAGTCTGCAGGCAGAGCAGTGGCTATAAACTACTTAGCATGAATGCACACATATACACACACACACACACACACACACACACACATACCTTCTGTGGCATAAGGTTGCTGTTGCAGTCTAAGGCAGCACCTTGAACTCTTTCCAGTTTGTCATGAGGGAAAGTTTTCTCAGATTGTGCAAATTCACAGACACAATTCTCAGACAAAGATATCTGAAATTTAAAATGTTAAACAAAGCAAAAATCAGTTAATAAAAAGCAGTTAATTGAATTAAAATATCACAATGTCTTCTGTGTTTTCTTACCTGCTGGGTGATGGTAAACAGCACACACAGTGGAACAATCACATACAGCTTCATGTTGGATCGCTCGGCAGAACTGCACGAAAGTGTCTTGGTGTGATTTTGGCATGTGTGCGACTGCAGCAGCTAACTTGTGTACACTCCCATTAAGCTCTACTGTGAGCGTGCGTTGAGTTTCACTTCCCCTCTTGTGGTTGGGATTGCAGCAACACATGAAATTTTCTACCTGATGAGGAAAAATTGAAACAGTGACAGATGAGCGTCGAGTAAGTTCTGCCACTCCATTATTGATGAGGAGAACAAACACTTTGTTTGGAGAAGCACAAAAATGACTTTTTGGAAAAGGTCTGTCATCCACCAAACAGTTCTTACTCATATTCCCAAAGCACCAAAATGTTAGCATCAGATCCTTTAACTTCAGCATCCACCAGGAATCAGCCAGTGGCTTAGGAGTACTGCTAGGGTTGGGTTGCATTTGAGCTACATGCTGAACAAGCATATTTTCAGAAACTAGAAGATGTTGATTTCAAAATGAACTCTTATCTTTTGTACTTGGTCTTACGGACCTTGCATATAGGGAGAGAGGTTGTACCTCCTGCACATCCTCCAGATACTGAGTCGGAGATCCTGGTAGAGCTACTTTGTCAGACCAAACATCCCTAAAATATTATCATGCTGTGTGACACGTTTTCCTCCTGGGGCTCTTCACTTCAATACAGTTTAATTTATACAGCACCAGATCACAACAACGGTTGCATCAAGGCACTTTTTATTGCAAGCTAAATACACTAAAGAAAAAAACAAAAAAATATGTGTTCTGGTTTATGGTTTATGTGTAAAAATGTGTAAAAATTACAATGTTGATTTTTTTTTTTTAAGACCTGAAAAATTCTCAAAAGCCAAAAATATCATGTAGCACGGGATTGGAGTTATGTAGTACTTTTCCTTTTAAACACATTAGCTTTAGGCTGACTAAACCGTCTGAGGTCTAAGCCATTGTCGGTGATGACCCCAACCATAACCCTCTGAACTCTGAACCTCTGCAATCAGAATATATCATTTTTGGGCGATCGTGGCTCAAGAGTTGGCAGTTTGTCTTGTAATCGGAAGGTTGCCGGTTCGAGCCCTAGCTTGGACAGTTTCGGTCGTTGTGTCCTTGGGCAAGACACTTCACCTACCGTCTACTGGTGTTGGTGAGAGGGGCCGATGGTGCGATATGGCAGCCTCGCCTCTGTCAGTCTGCCCCAGGGCAGCTGTGGCTACAAATGTAGCTTGCCTCCACCAGTGTGTGAATGTGAGAGTGAATGAATAGTGGAATTGTACAGCGCTTTGAGGTTCTCGAAAAGCACTATATAAATGCAATCCATTATTATTATTATTATTATTTTTGTTTTTATTACATTTTTCTCCAAGACTTGGCAATTGGGCAACACAGAAAATAACCATTCTAACTGCAACACATGGAAAACGATTTTACTCCCCCCAAAAAGGTCTGCTTTGCTCTTCTTCAAAATACAGGGTTAGGGTAGGTTAAGGTCAGACCTCAGAGGGTTAATAGCAACACAACTTATACACTCAAAAGGACAGAGGTCCTTCAAAATGCAGTTCTGTGGCATGTTGTTGGGAAATCCTGTGAGGGAAGTGGGATTAACGTGTGTTTGAACCTTTCAGATTTCCTGAGATGTGCAAACAGCTTCTGTATTTAACATGTTACAAAAGTTAGGAACAGAAAGTGGCCACTTGGCACTGAACTCAGGAAATATCACACCCATTAAGAGTGCTGACAACATTTAATTTCGGTAGCTTAAATTTCCAAATAATCCAGATAACCTGAGAATACATGTCAATTACACAGAACTCTAGTGTCATTTTATTGTCAATTATATAAACGTTATTAATGAACAGGCAAACCTGATTTAGGCAATGCAGTGGAGTATTTTCCCCCTTCGTGCACTGCAAAATCTCCAGTGTTAAATTGACACTAGAAAGTGTCTATATGTGTCTGCTCTTTTGAGTGTTAAATTAACACTTTTGACAGTGTTTCCAACAGTAAGCTAGTCACTGAGCAGTACTGATTTTCTATCACTGGAAAATAACTAAAAATGCTAGTAATGTTTCAGTGTTAGACAAACAACACTGCTAATGTTAGTCATTGTTAATCTTTAACACTGACTAGAAATATAACACTGTCAAAAGTGTTAATAAAACAGTGTCAAAATTGTTAATTTAACACTGAAGATTTTGCAGTGATGAGTTCATAGTTTTTGTATATTTGTCACATTTACATATTTCTATGAATTGCTTTGCAAGTTTGATACCAGCTCTGATGTGACTCCAAAGCCTTCCAAAAAGTTAAGCTTATGTTTCATGAGTCCACAAAATATTTTCCCAAATGCTTCGAGGATCATCAAGATGTTTTTTATAGCAAATCTGTGATCGCCGTCTTGTTACATACTAACAGCCACTTGGTCACAAGCAAACCACTTAGGGTTAGGGTCAGTGTTGGGACTAACGTGTTATTAAGTAACGCGTTACAATAACTACGTTATTGTTGTGGTAACGAGCGCGGTAACTAGTTATTATGATTTAGATAGGGTCGTTATTCGTTACTTCTTGCGGTGGCTATCACGGAGCTTCCACAGATTCTGTAACATTAGCAAGTGGTGGAGGCAGCAGGTGGAGGAGGAGCCGAGACCCGAGGCAGCCGCCGGTCCGAGTGTCAGGTGAGCTGAACTTCAGGTAAGAAGTTATGACCTGCAGTCTATCTGGGTCAGATATAAACCAAGTTTAGGTGGAGTTTATTTTCGTTATGCTGACTTTTTCGTACTGCGTACTAGCTAGCATGACGGAGTTTCTATACAGCTGGGTGAGTGCTATGTTACTGATGTTGAACTTTATTTTGTTCATAAGGTTAGTTAGTAGAGTTGCCAACCGTCCTGTAAAAAACGGAATTGTTCCGTATTCAGAGGAAATATTATACGTTTCATATTGAGCTGAAAAGGAACACAGTTTGTCCCGGACTTCAGCTACAACGAAAAAGACACAAAGCTGGAGTTATTCTGTCTTTGCTGCACAGCTGCCTCTTCTTCTCTTATTCTCCCCCCTCCCTCTCCTGTTTCTACTTCAATCATGAAACTGATCAATAATCAGCTGAACGGCTTTTCTCTCTCATTTGTTTATCGTCTACTTTGCGCCAGAAAGAAGAAACCAGCAGAGGCTGTGTTAAACAACAGCAGCACGTTTGAGCTTGATCAGCTGTTGTTAGAATTTATTTAATGTTAATTTCTAGTATCCGCTGATGTTTGCTGGAGCCACAGCTGTAAAGCTGCTGGTCATGATGTCGGTTTGGATATGTGGTGAGAGGGAAACATGAAGATGAAACCAGGAGATGTCCTTACTGAATCATCAGAGCTGAACAGGTGATGGAGGAACAAGTTTACCTTTTAGGTGACAGGAATGAGTTGAAAGGAAGTTATGAACTGTTTCTGAGAAATAACACCAGGATCCCTTTTTATGTAGCTGACAGCTGGTAACTGTGCAGGGGCGGATCTAGCAAAGTTTTGCAGAGCCATGGATTTTTCACCATGAAGGCCACATTCACAGTCTTCTTCAGACAGCTATGACTGCTGATTGCACATAGAGAAACAGTCATAGGGGCTCCAGTGACATGATATGGGTGCTTTAAATTATAATTTCTCAGACTGATAAACTCTTGCAAAGGAAACTTGTCACGGCCGCCGTGTTAGACGTGTGGAGAGATGCGAGAAGGACTCAAGTGCAGGCACCGACTTTACTGAGAGTGAGCTTTATTTACAGTGGCCAAGCGAAATACAAACGGCAGCTGGCAGCGACTAGACTAACACAAAAACCTAAACTGAAAGCAGCTACAAAAAGCCTTGAACTAGAAACCTAGAAATGAAACATAAAAACCTGAAACGTGCAGACCAACGATGAGAGACATCTGGAAATCTTTGCTCTCACATCTGCATTCATGGATGTTTGGACTTTTCCTACTACTTTGTTCATTACCACAACTTCCCCACTCCAATCAGTGTCTGTTCCCCATTCTTTAAAATCTACTGCTCTTCTGTTATTCTGGCTTTCAGGTGGTCATTGTTGCTACCTGGTTTCCATCTTCACGTCATCCTGGACGTTAGAGAATGTACCATTTGCTCCAGGACCGTCACCATCAGCTCTGCTCTGGTCTTTGCTTTGAACTGACCTTAACTGCTTTGTCCAGCCATCCAGTTTCACTCAAAAGTGTTCATTGTTAAATACAAATAGATGCTTAACTTCTCTAACTGTGGTACCCTTACACTTAGTGTTACAGTTAGTTTCCCATGCTTACAGTATTTGGACTATTTTGCACATCTTTAACTGGAAATTTAATCCTGGATAGAGTCGACAGTTGGGTTCCAGATGAGATGAGATTAATTTATGATGTTCATGTCTTAAAGTAATGATGGATTTTCTTTTAGTTTGGTCGAAGAACTCTTGCTATAATATAGATCGCAGTTTGCTACATATCAACACTAATTTAACACGATACACTAAGAAAACAAGAAATTCTACCTCTTAGCTTTGACAAGCTCACCTGCCACGCTGTCACTCCTGACGTCATCATTACTGATGACCGAACTCAATGTAGTCAGAAGACATGAATTTTGTTCTTTATCAAAATTGTTCTCCCAAATCTTGACAATTTTTCTTTTATTTTTCCTACATGCAACAAAAAATATTTGCATTCTCACTCTGTCGCTGCTGGAAAACATATGCTTAGGGTTAGGGGTCACCACCAATCATCAAGTAGACCTCAGAAGGTTCAAATAACAACCTAATCTAAAGTATAAAACATGTTTGGGTTTGTTTGCCCAGGTGTCGAGTTTTTTCTGGCATTATTGAGAACTGCGTGAGAAGTTTCATAAATGAGTTTGTAAACAGAGGTATAAGCAGAGGATATTGCAAAACAAAAAAAAAAGATATTGCATAAAAGAAGTGAGGAAGTGGAAAACTCCTGAGTTGACCATAGCTGTTGTGAAATTCTAGAGTTTGGCCTCTTTAGAGTTTCACATCTGTGCAGATGTTTTGAAGGCTCTGAAGTAGTGACGAAAACCAAACTTGGTAGGTGTGTCCATTCAGAT